CATTTGACTTCTTTAAAACACTTAACAATTAAGCAATCCCATTAGATAAATGACTAACTTACCTTTGGTGCACTTTAATGGATACTTATTACATATGGATTTGTATGAAAAGACCATTATACCCTTGGTTACCGTTTACGCCATTTAACCATATCAATCAACTTTATGACCATTCTACCCTTATTTCTCTTCAATGACATCACCCCTTACACTTTACAATGGCCACATCTCGAAATACATATAAATTGACCATTTTACCCTTCCATTTAAAAAAAGAAAATTACTTGAAAGGTAAATTTCATACATTAGGGCATCGGAACCTGCTGTTGAATCTGCTCTTGAGGTATTAAGAGTTATTGCCAGCAATTATTGGGCATCGGAACCTGCTGTTGAATCTGCTCTTGAGGTATTAAGAGTTACTGCCAGCAATTATTAGGATATAAATAAGTTTTGAGTTTGTTATATACTGGGAGTTTCATTGACTCAAAAGTTTTTTTTCCAGAGGTTTGCTGATGTTCTAAATCAATATGAGCTTGCCTCTGCGCTTTTTTATCGGGCTGACCAAGAGAGATCTAACCTTATTGTGCGTGAGACGTCTGCGAAGACAATTGTGGCTGAAGCAACTTGTAATTCAGAGAAAGTCCGTGCATCATTTGAAGTTCAGGCTTGGGAATTTGCACAAGCAAAGGCTCTAATAGCTGAGAAAGCTCAAGAAGCAACGACTTGGATGGAGCAACATGGGAGGGTCCTTGATGCTTTACGAAGTAACCTAATCCCAGAAATAAATACCTGCATAAAGTTGAGTGGTCTGTCAGATGCTTTATCTCTTACATCTGGTGTTCTTGTTGCTGGGTTCCATTCACTATAGTTCCTGAGCCCACTCAAGTACAGTGCCATGATATAGATAAGGAAGTTTCTCAGCTAATAGCTGAACTGGATCAGGGACTCTCATCTGCCTCAGTTGCTCTCCAAGCATACGCTTTTGCCTTGCAAAGAATCCTCTAAATTATCTTACAACCAGTGCAGTGCATGGTTGGGCACAAGTTCTGCAATTGTCTGCTAGTGCTCTTTCTGCTGATATCCTCACTCTTGCTAGAAGACAGGCTGCTGAACTCATTGTGAAAATACATGGAGATAATATTGTTTCTATCAAATGCAATCATGAACAACTTTGTCTTGGAAGTGGAAAAGTATGGGTTGGAGATAGAAAAAGTTGAAAAAGAGTGTGCTGAGTTAGTTAACTCTGTTGGCTCAGAAACTGAATCAAAAGCTAAGGATCGTTTTTTATCTGTTTTCATGAAGTATATGAAGTCTGCAAATCTTTTAAGGAAAGAATTTGCTAATTCTTCACATCAATCTGGACAACTTAAATATGATGGGAGAAAAGATGCCATGTTACAGGGGGCTCAGGAAGAGAACAAGGAAAGGGTATTATCTGTTCTGAATATAGCTGTAAGCAATCTGTATGAGGAGGTCAAGCGTAGGGTCCTTGAAATTTTTAGTGACACTGTTGGGGTAATGAGAGGAAGCGATAGGTTGAGATCTGATTTTGGAACTATTTTCTGTGAGTCTGAAGAGCAAGTAGAGAAGTGTATACTTGTGGCAGAGTTTGTGAATGAACTGTGGCAAATTATTGGCAAGGACATGTCTAATGATGATGCAGATGTAGATTGTTCAAAATATCATCCTGAAAAAAATTGGGCCTCTATCTTCAAAACCAGTTTACTTTCCTGTAAGAACTTGGTTGGGCAAATGACCGAAGTTGTTCTACCAGATGTAATGAGATCTGCTATTTCATTCAATTCAGAAGTTATGGACGCATTCGGATCAATCTCACAAATGAGGGGGTCCATCGATACAGCACTTGAACAGCTTGTGGAGGTTGAATTAGAGAGAGCATCCTTGGTTGAACTAGAACAGAACTACTTTGTCAAGGTTGGTCTCATTACTGAGCAGAAATTGGCTCTTGAAGAAGCTGCTGTGAAGGGTAGGGATCATCTATCTTGGGAAGAGGCAGAGGAGCTTGCCTCACAAGAAGAAGCCTGTAGAGCAGAGCTGAACCGACTCCATCAAACTTGGAAACATAGGGACATGGGAAATACCTCTCTCATGAAGCAAGAAGCTGATATTAGAAATGTCTTGGTTTCTTCAGAGCGCCATTTTCAATCTGTAATAGGTGCTGAAGAGTTTAGGGAGCCACATGTTTTGAGAAGCAAAGCACTATTGACCACACTTGTTAAGCCCTTTTCTGAGTTGGAATCAGTTGATAAAACATTAACCTCTTTCAGGTCTGTTGATTCTAAATCAGATGGGATCCCTAAATTAGCAGAGTTGATGAGTTCTGGGCGCTCAATATCTGAATGTATCTGGAATTTTGGTAGCCTTTTGAGCAGCCACTCTTTCTTTATTTGGAAAATGGGTATAGTGGATTCTTTTCTTGATTCATGCATACATGATGTGGCATCATCGGTTGATCAAAATTTAGGATTTGACCAGCTGTTCAATGTTGTGAAGAAAAAGCTTGAACTCCAACTTCAAGAACATGTTGGTCTATACTTGAAAGAGCGAGTTGCTCCTAGTTTATTGGGTTCGTTAGATAGAGAAATTGAGAATTTGAAGAAATTGGCTGAGGAAACAAAGGAAATTACAGGTGAGGAAGTCAAAAAGGAAACTGAGGCTGTGAGAAGGGTCCAACTAATGCTTGAGGAATATTGTAATGGACATGAAACAGCTAGAGCAGCAAGATCAGCAGCTTCTCTTATGAAAAGGCAGGTGAATGAGCTCAGGGAGGCTCTTCTCAAGACTAGCCTAGAGATTGTCCAAATGGAGTGGATGCATGATGATGTTTTGACACCCTCATATAATAGCAGGATAATATATCAGAGATTTTTTCCCAATGATGATAAAATATATCCGATTGTTCTAAATCTCGGCAGACCAAAATTGTTGGAAACTATACAGTCTGCTGCGTCAAAAACAGCTAGATCGATTGACTGCCTGCAAGCTTGTGAACGAACTTCTGTCACCGCAGAAGGGCAGCTTGAGAGAGCAATGGGATGGGCTTGTGGTGGGCCAAATTCCACTGGAAATTCTTCAACCAAGACTTCAGGAATTCCACATGAATTCCATGACCATCTGATGAGGCGTCGGCAACTACTATGGGAAGCTAGAGAAAAGGCATCAGATATTGTCAAAATATGCATGTCAATATTGGATTTCGAATTGTCAAGAGATGGTATTTTTCAGATTCCGGGAGAGGCTTATCCCTTGAGAGGTGGTGGCGATGGAAGGACATGGCAGCAGGCTTACTTGAATGCACTAACAAAACTGGAGGTTGCTTATCATTCATTCACATGTGAGTTTGCCATGATACAAAAATACGTTAAAAATGCTTTGTATGGTTATATAGTGGTCAATGTATGGTCTTAATGCTCTTGTATTAGGTACCGAACAAGAGTGGAAGCTCGCAGAAAGCAGCATGGAAGCTGCTTCTAATGGCTTATACTCCGCTACAAATGAACTTTGCATTGCCTCTCTTAAAGCAAAGTCAGCTTCAGGTGGCATGTCCTTCATTAACTTGCAACCTTTACACTGGCATATTATCATGTCTTACCCAAACATAGGCACACACTTGTGTATTGCTTATACATACATAAGTGCTATTATTATACAATTTTATTTACTGCAGGTGATTTACAAAACACTGTTCTTGCAATGAGGGATTATGCATATGAAGCCAGTGTTGCTCTATCTGCTTTTGGTCGTGTATCAAGGAGCCATACTGCTTTGACCTCCGAATCTGGTTCCATGCTTGAAGAAGTATGCTCTATATGTGGAAATTTTTTTCTTTTTGTTAAGAAACTGTATAGACTTTATATGTGGGAAAAAGCATTACATGAAGAGAACAACCTATCCAAAAATTAAAAATATAGTAAAACCAGATGTGTACAAGAGTAAAAAGGCCTGGAAATATCAACCAAAATCTTAGGATCTGCGCAAAAAATTCAGAACATACAAATCTTTTTTTTCTTTTTCTTATAATTTTAAGGATATTAGTTGGCTTGGAGGTAATTCTCAGTGGTTGATACCAGTTTTCTGAACTCAGATTATCTTTATCTTAACTCATTAGTCGGCCGGTACGGATGATTCTTTTTTTGGAAATGATTGCTGTTGTAGTATTTTTTCGATGTATCAGCATGATTGATGTTTTTGTAAGTCTTAAGATAGCAATTTTCTTTGCCATCCCTGCATCTGGTCAAGTGCCGCTATAACTGCTGTGCTTTTCCTTTTTATCCTGGTTTTCCCTTTGGGTGTGGGATACATTATTTCTTTCTCACATGAGGCAGGTTGATGGTATTTTTGTTGTCACTTTTGAGTTGTAACTAAAGGAATATTTAATATTTTTTATCTGTTATCTTGATGTAGCTAATGCTTTTGTATTTCTCTTCAGGTTCTGGCAATAACTGAAGACCTGCATGATGTCCACAGTTTGGGGAAGGAGGCTGCTGCTGTACACCGCTCTCTTATGGAGGACCTTTCCAAGGTTTTCCTTGTCTTTCAACTCACTAATTATTTGATGTGTGCTTCCTTGTGTTGGTTTTGGTGTAGCTCTGGTGAATCATTTTCCAATCTTCATACTTCATAGAATTGAAACTTCTTTCAAGAGTGTGGGGCTATAGGTTTTGCTCTAGACTTACAACTATATCTGCTGATTTCGGTTATCTCTGGGCAGGCAAATTCCATCCTTCTTCCGCTTGAATCTGTTTTGTCCAAAGATGTGGCTGCTATGGCAGATGCTATGACTAGTGAAAGAGAGACCAAGATGGAAGTTTCTCCTATTCATGGACAAGCTATATATCAGTCTTATTGCCTCAGAGTGAGGGAGGCATTTCAGATCTTTAAGCCCTTGCTTCCATCACTTACACTTGCTGTAAAGGGACTATATTCAATGCTTACAAGGCTTGCGCGAACTGCAAGTCTCCATGCTGGCAATCTTCATAAAGTAAATTTCCATCTCTGAGTTTAATCATGTTATTTATACACTTGGATAATTGCAATTGGAAAAAGTGACAAAAATTATCTCTCTCTATGTAGGCTCTTGAAGGACTAGGAGAAAGCCAAGAAGTAAAATCACAAGGAATTAGTCTGTCAAGGCCAGATCTTGCTGCCGCTGATACTTCCCAATTTGATGACAAAGAGAGAGAGGAGCTCTCCAAATCTGATAGTGAGAGCACCAAAGATGATCTTCTTGGTGTTATTGGACTCTCTTTGCAAGACAAAGGATGGATATCTCCTCCAGATAGCATCTATGGCAGCAGCTCTGAGTCTGGCGTCACCTCAGGTGGTGCAAGTCTTCCAGACTTAAACAACCCAGCAGAATTGATGGGACAACATTCACATGGGGAGGACAAGTATCAGCCAAGTTCTATTCCATCTTCACAAACTGGTTTCCAATCACACTCTTGGCCGTTGGATGTGGACGATAGTGATAATGGTTCTGTCAAGTCAAGTATTAATGAACCAAATGTAAATCTGGAAGCTGTGAAATCTCAAAGTGATGAAGCTGCAAGTGTGCCTGTAGGCAGTTCGCAACCATTGAATAAGGAGTCAGAGGTGGCTTTTGGAGTTGAAGACGAACTATCCTCATTAAGCAAAGTTAAGATTGACGAGGAAAATAATGAAGATTCTATTCCTAATGCACGTACCGTTAGCCGAGTTGTCAGGGGTAAGTATGGGATCTTTTTATATTTGGAGTATTAATATTTGTTTTCTTGAACTTTTAATTCCTTGAGAAAGAACGAAAGAAAGAAAGAAAGAAAGAAAGAAAGAAAAAAAAGATATTTCTGAATGTAATTTTTTAACACCATGGAATTCTAGGGTTTCAGACCTTTTGACTAAAGTAGAAAACATAGGATATCATTTACGTTATCATGTCAATAGGGTACTTATAATTGGAGTTTAGTCGTTTATTTATCAACTTATACTCATTTAAGGTTAAAAAGTCTATGAGTAATTTGAATATTAACTTTTGGAACACCATATACCAAAACTTTGCCTGTACTGGCACTGGCAACCAGACTGTGCTTGTGTTTCTTTTGCTAGTAATTTTCTATTAAATTATGTTGGATGAATTTTTTTTTTTTTTTAAATTAGCCTGTAAGTTTCTCAGCTTTACTTTTATAAATAATGGTAATCTTTTATCAACATCTCAAGATGTTTGATGGTGTCCCATTGCCACCTCCATATTTTCTCCCTTGGAGGGAAAAAAAAATTAAAAAGATTCAATCTCAGTGACTATTTCCACAGTTTTTACTGTTTGGCATGAGTGAGTGCATGTACTGTGATTGTTTTTATTTGAATCACAATTGCTGTTATATTAACTTGAGATTTGTAATTATTGGTTATGTATAGGTAAAAATGCTTATGCATTATCAGTCTTAAGGCGTGTTGAGATGAAACTTGATGGTAGAGATATTGTTGAGAACAGGTACCTGCTTTTTTTTGGCGGTAAATTTGAAATGGGTCTTGGATGAACTATTTAGTAACAGTAAACCTTCTTCATACTTTTTACAGGGAGATCAGTATTGCGGAGCAGGTAGATTATTTGCTCAAGCAGGCATCAAGTGTGGATAATCTTTGCAACATGTATGAAGGATGGACACCGTGGATTTGAATTTGAACATGTGAAGCCTGTGCATTCTCAATAGAATCAGTGTCTTGAGTTATATATGGAAGCATTGTTGAGCATGTCAAAGCCATTTCAATTACTTGTCTCACTGACTTGGCCTTGTGTCTGAAACTCTCCCTATCTCTGGGACTAAGCCTTCTGCAAAAAGAATTATCTCTTGGCTTCAGGACCCTGGTATTTCTGCCGAAGAACCTGCTATGAATCAATACCAGCTGCTTAAAAAGATGCCATCTAATCATGCTCTATCTGGTAATGATTTCCTTCAAGGGAAGATTTTTTAAACGCTGCTTTTGTTCCAATCCTTTTCTGGGATCTCCTAACATGGTCTCCCTTGTGACAGTTTAAGATGGAAAAATATGTCAGGGCTCTAATATGGATTCAAATTCGATGACTATTTAAAGTGCTCGACAGCTTGAAGCCCTCCCAAGATGTTACAACAACCATCGCTGTCCATATGGAAGTTACTTTTCGATAGGTCTCAACCTTGTCAGCTCATCGCCTGCTCCTTTCTGAACGAAATTCCAGGAGAATTTTCACTCGGACAACTCTTAACATGGAGGATTTCCATTGCAAGTCAAAACTGCATCCCCAGTGAAGGCACTGAGTTGGACATCGAAGGTAAAAATACTACTCTATCTCGTGAGAATTCACTGGTTGAAATTAGTTCAGTATTCTTAATCATTTTAGATAAAAAAAAAACCATGCCCTATACATATACAATTTTGTCACATAAATAAATACAACTTAAGAAGCTTATATTTGCATGTTATTTTGTAATTCATCAGGGCTATTATTAGAATGAACATTAGCTATTGATATGTATTCATCACATTTTTTCTTTATTTATAAGTAAAAAGGTGAGAAAAAAATAATATAATTATATGAAATGTCAAAGGAAACTAAACAATGCAGATCATACAAAAAACGATAGCATGGTGCATTTATATTTATGAAAAGAACCTTGAAATCAATAAGGAGAGCCTCAGGTTTGAAGTACTCAAACTGGGAGAACTACATTTTTCCACCCAAGGTTCGGTGAAACGACACTTCTCCACCCGTCAAGTTTCAAAACAACGTTTTCTCACTCATCCACAATTAACTTTAACTAAAGAAGGACGTAGTGATAAATTCAAAAAAATTTGAAGGATAATTATGTCATTCCCTTTATATATAAACTGAAAAAAAAAAAAAAAATCAAACCCTTTTACCTTTCTTCCCCACCTCTCCGCCCCAAATTATTATTTATTTTAAATTTTTTTTTTTTTTTTTCAAGTTAGGATTTGGATTCAAATAATAAAAGATATTTTAATCGTAACATTGATTATACCAGTTTTGATAGGAATCTATTCCCAAATTGATAAGAATTTGACTAGATAAAGGGGCCTTTGATAGAAATTGGAGTGGATAGTGAATAGTGATCCTTTTGTAGGCTTTGATAAAACTCTATTTGAAAAACCGGCTTCCAAGGGGGGGTGTTCAAGCCTACAAAAGAATCACTATCTATCCCAATTTTTATCAAAGGCTCATTACCTAGCTCAATTTTTATCAATTTGGAAGTGGGTTCCTATTAAATGGTATTAAAGCCAAACCCTGCCTAAGCCCATGTTCCCAAAGAGGCAACTTGGGAAAAAGCCTAGTTAGTAAATACGGGTACGGTAAAAAAACAGTACGGGAATTTTACAGGTATAATACAGCAAACGTTAAAAAATACGTTTATAAAAATTTGGCTATAAAATTCGAATACGGAAAAAATACGGTATGGGTATATACGGGTTTAGTACGGTGTATTGTTAATAATATGTTTTGAAAAATACAGCAATATCAATCTTAGTTTAAACACTTTTATGGATTACCTAGTTAAAATCAATATAGCATTTCAAATGTAAAATATTCAATTAACCAATAACACAAATATACATTATATAACTGATATTCAAATTATAGTTTCCAGACTCAAACACAATATTTAGTTATGATTCTTTACTAATTTAAAACTTGATAAGTTTGATATTAAATGTAACTAATTTTAATTTCCCATTAATCCATTAAATTATATTAAATCAAACTTGTCTCACAAATCTATATAAAATATTAGTGTTACAATGCAACCTGAAATATGAGATTAATCAATAAATAAAATAATTTCATAAAAGGATTTTGTTAATCACTTATTCACACCAGCACCCACCGACTCACTCTCATTGTCTCACACCGCACAGCTGCCGCAAATCGTCATCAGCTCTTCCCACTTCCGCAAAGCCCAACCACCTCATGGACCCTCACCCCTTCCTTCCCAGCGCCTCCACCTTCCAATGAATCCCCAGTGGCCACCCAGCCTACCTTCCTTTCCAAAATAACACTTTTAAACTAAAATCATCAGCCATCGAAATCAGAATCAACAAATGAAAAAAAGTATGAAAGAAATCCTGAAATTCAATAGCGGGGATGAAAATCATTGGGGGATGTACTCAGTGAGGGGCTACGCTAGAAGTGGGGAGGCGTGAGATGGTGGTTAATTCACGAATAATCTCTTCCCTTGCCCAATGATTTCTTCTTCCCCCACCAAAACGACGTCGTTTCAATCAGTTTTTTTTGCTTTTGCAATAATTCGTGAAGAATTCGCGGATGTTTTAATAATTCGCAAATAATTCGACAGTCATTTAAAAAGTACGTAAATATGCGTATAAAATACGTATTTACTAACTAGGGGAAAGAGCAGCCTAGAAGAGTAGGCTACTCAAAATGAAGCTGTTCAGAGTGGGCCAATATGGACATTAGGTCACGAAGCATGAGAGAATGTTAGGATCTCACATTGGAAGAAAAAAAGTATAGGCATGTGATTTATAAGAGCTTGGGCACCGTTAACAAATTTTACTACCAAATCTTAACATTAGAAGGGAAAGTGTCAGTTTTGAAACTTTAGCCATGATAAAAATATCGGCTTCGTTTGGCTTATTATTTCTATTTATATTCCCAAAATACTTGTTTGTTTTGTTATTTGAGAAATATTAGTATATATTTTTTAATTATTTTTAGACCCCTTAAGTTTATTAATTTCATTAAATATCCCCAGAAAAAAAGTTTAAAAATTAACAAAAACACCTCTACCCACCCATACTTGCCAGATTCCAGTAACCACCGTCAGTGGTAGCCGGAACTGGTCGATAATTCACCGATCTGGCCGTCAGCGACGGCCATAGATGATGGCCAGATCTGGACTTTTGCAACAGTAGATTTTGCCTTTTCCGACCAGATCCATGGTGGATCTAACCAAAAAAGGCCATATCGATGCCCTACCCGACAGATCCGATTGGTCTGTGTTGTAACGCTATTTTTCAACCAGATTCTGACGGTAGTGGTTGGAATCTGGCACTATAGGTGGATGGAAATGTTTTTGTTATTTTATAAAATTTTTATATATTGAGGTGTTTAGTTAAATTAACAAATTTAGAGATTTTTTTGTTAATTTTTAAATTTTATTTTATAATATTTGTTTATTCAACTATCCAATATCATTCTCAAAATTATATCCAAAATAACAAAATAGACGGACTCAGTTCTCCCACTCAAACTAGTAAATGACTCAAACATATGTCCAGATCCCTCCAGAATCATAATAATAATTAAATATTATTGAAAGGATGAGGAAACAATATCCATAAGATAAACATTGATTTAACAATTAAATAATATCAGTTTTTGCCACTTGTTATGTTAAAGATAAACACCAACTTAATTAAATGATTGAAAGCCCACAGATTTTTTCTACCAACAGTACATGAAACTGACAGTCCCTATTCAGCAACTTCTGCCCCTGGAAATTCTTACCAAAACCACTCTTTTAAAATTTCCTATATAAAACCCCCAAAGTTTCTCCCCAACTTAAACACATTCAAATTTCATCGTTAATACTGCAGTTGATTTTTATAACTGGGTAATATTTCTATTGATGTCTGGGATTGTGGATATGTGGAGCAGTGAGCTAGCGAAGCGGCGTGAAAAGGGTTCCAGTTCCAGTGCTGATAATCATCAGGGGTCAACCCAACAAGTTGTTTCTCCAAAAGAAGAAGAAAAAAGCAAGTTATTTGGTGGGAAGCTCCAGGGTTTTATCCAGGGAATGAGAGTTAATTCAGCTGTCTTGTTGTCTCCTCGTTCTGAGGCTTCAGTTTCCATGATTGTTGAGTGCTTCAGTCCTTGAACAAGAAAACCAAGCACCCACTTTTTGTTTCTGTTTTAAATGATGTTTATAATGTAATGTAATGTAAATATGGCGCCTACTGGGGTTGTATGCATATGGAGAAGTGATAATGGTTTTGCTTTGCTGCAATATTGTTGAACACTCTCTGTAACTTCTGATCATAAGTTCACATAAATCTACTGAAAAAACTTTGAAACTGCAAGATGACATTGATCAATTTAACCCCAAACTCCTTACAAATAGTATTATTATTGCAATCAAACACTTGTTTAGTCTGCAATTCTGAACTTCTGATGTCAGTTTTTTGGAAGAAAAGTTACCAAATCCCTATTTGCAGAAACATGAACTAACCAACAAAAGATGGATCTTTATATATCAAATTATGTAAACCATACATTACAATAACCTTCAAATATCTCTAAAGCAATTTGAAGATTTTATTGCTTGCAATTCTTTCTCTTGCTTTTGTTGTCACCTTTTTTGTTTCTCTACTATTTGATCTTTTGATAATTTGGACTAATAACCCACTTCCCCCATAAATCCACTGAAAAATAACCATGAAAACTTCGAAACTACAATATTGCATAGATCAATTTAACCTCAAAGTCCATATAATAAAAACTTGGTTAGTTTTGAAATTCTATTTTGATGGTCAATTTTTTCACGTATAGGAGATGTCACATATGTCATGGCTTTTAGGTAAATCATAGACAAATGTACTACCTTTACATTCAAAGAAAATCAAACTTGGAACTATAGGTTGAAGTCATGCAAATCTCCTGGTTTGCCCTTACCATTCGGCTTGGGTGGGTGTCAGATGTATGTTTTCCCATATGCCTTCTCTGATTCTCATTTAGAGTAAACAATATCTTTCCACCCAAGGTTTAGTGAAATCACAAGTTGATATCCCTGATTTCATAAATTTTAGATTCTCACCCTTAAACAGATGTCGTTAGTGACGGCATAGAGACAGATGGTTCTTTCACCAATTACCTTCTTCATCTCTCCTTCCGTTCTTCACAACCCATTCCAAGCCCACCACAACGGGCCAAATTACCACCGCACAAAACAAAAAACTAAATCAAAAATCAGTTGCACGACCCAATCAAACTCCCATTTCAACTAATTTCACAAAACCCAAAGTTGAGTGGCGGCGATGAACAGCGAGCAATCATGGTCGGGAAGGTTTGGGGTTTTGAAGGGGAGATTCTTGTGAGTGCAAGGGTGGTGTCGTTTGGGGTTGAGGTCGCCAAAATTAGCCAGAATCTGGCTAGAGACAATTGCATAGCGCATAGAAAAACCCAGCTGTGGTCGGCGTTTTCCAGGTTGGAATGGTTGGTTTCAGTTGAGGAAAGGCTAAAGTTTTGTTGTGGGGGGGTTAGGGAGGCAGATGGTGGTGGTTTTGGGTGAAAAAAAGCTGGAAAAGTGGCAAAAAGGACGACGGCTGGACTGATTTCAGAATACGCCCAGGGTGTGCTTTGCGGGATCTGCAGGGTGGGGTTGGGAGATTGGATGGTGGTGGCAAGGCGTCAAGATGCCGTTGGAATCAGGCGGGTGG